TGTTCAACATTCACAACTGAATAAAAATGCCACAAAAGCTGCCAGGTAATGGAATTTTTAAATTGGATAGCAGCCCTATTATCGTAATTATGTGATGACACGGTCGCTGTAATGTTCCCAATTGTCAACACTTGGTAATTAGCGTCTCCTTTCACTTTCTCTGCTGTAGGAGAGACATTTATGGGCTGGTTATAATCAGCCCAGACCTTGGTTTAACAATAGGTCTTCACTGATTAAATGTCCCAGGTATGTCTATCGACAACCGTGAAATGCTATTGTTTAACCCGACTTCTTGTGAAAATGGTGTTCACTTTCACTAAATCATCAAAGTTTTGTCATATTTTTTCTAATATTAAAACTGAACCTAATTACCCAACATTATTATCAATAATTATCATTGCTGCTTCACTGAACATTTAAGCGAAAGTTTCAATCTCATGATGCAATTAAACAGATTTGACCAGTTTATAAGGTGCAAATCTAAAAATACCGTAACATTTTTTGCAGTATAATTTTCAAGGTCATTTCAAAAATATACTATTTCATCCTATTTCATATTTGTGATTCTGGCATGTTATATTATCTTTTCTTTGTGAAAAGAACATTTTCCAAATGTGTTTAATTGTAGACTCTTCTTTTTGCAAATGTTCAACTTCATGAATCATTAACAATATTTCGTTTTGAAAGAATAAAAGTGACTTTCCATTCAAAATTCTTCAAGCATGTTTTTCTATTGCCTGCCTCTAAAGTTGAAGCCATTTTAGTTTTTTTGTTTTTGTCTACAATATTTTGGCAAAATTGAATAGCAAGAATAACTTGAAAGTATTCTGACTTTTTCTATGGTTACTGCATAGCATGAAGATGTTAAAACATAAAAAAAAAGCTTTACAATTTAAAAGCAACTCAACAAGAAATTAAGAAATCAATATGAAAGCAGTGTTTCAAGTTGGAGGTTTCAAAGGCGTTCTTAAATTATCAACCAGTCTCCGTCCTAAAAACAAAAGCTGCAACCAAGATTTACGATAAGTTTGGGCAGGCATGCAAGCTTTCCTATAATCAACTCACTGTTTCTGGAGTAGAGGGGTAGGAGGGAAAATTTGGAGAAAATGAAAAAATATGCATCACTACCAGAAAACCTGTACCACCATGTCCTCAGCCTCATAACAGATGGCTGTGGTAGTTTTATATTAAATAACAGGAAATTGCTGGATCAATCTGAGTCCGATAACATAGTAAATCTATTGTGTAGGACATTGTGTTCTCACCGAATCTGGATAGCAACCATCGACAACTACAATGTACGTAAAAATCAATTGATATTTGTGATTCCTCTGGGATGACGTATTAAACATCCATTTATTATCAACATCTCCCACAAATCATTTCCTAATTTTTCCCGACTTTCGATTCTTTACCTACACCATGTGTTACAGGCAGTATGGATTTACGTGATAATGTTTAGTGTAACAACAGCAACATCTCGACATGTATCTCCCTTAGTTTTGTGAGGGATCGGTACATGTAACTGAAGACATCGGGGACAAAAGCCAAACACATTTATTGATGATTTTAAATTGTGGCATACAAACTAGAACACATGTGAATAGCTTACACATGTGGTGAGGGTTTATGACCTTTCTTTTTTATTAGATCAGTATGCAACAGTTGGAAAAATCTTTAAAAAGAATCAGACTAATTTGAGATAGAATTGCGACTCAAATATAGACAGGATGTCATATAAACAAAATGAAAATCAGTAACCTACGAGATCCAATGACGAAAAACAAATATTTTGGAAATCTTGTTTTTCCTGCAAATGTTTTTGGGGTCGTATCAAAATTTGGCCTTATTCCTATGGAGATTTATACATTTTTCTTCTCAATTTGATCAAAATAATAAGATCATTCTATTTTTTAGATTTTAGATTTTACTCTTTCCATTATTTAATGAGTTACCATTACACTGTATACCTTAAAATATAGGCAGATATCAAAAGACTTCCTCAGTCAATTTCCAAAATACTTTGTTAATCCAAGAAATACATAAAAATCAAAACTTTACGATGACCAACCATATAGAGTTAGTTCAGCTACAACAACTTTACAAATGGGCTATATATTAACTGTAATGTAAGAAATGTGGCTATGCTTTCATACTTTCTGATCCGGTATAAATCAAAACAAAACGAAAAACATGGCCGAAAAAGAATTACTGTTAATCTAATATATCTCATATTTCATAACAGTCACCACAAGGTGTTTACGGTTCATCGGCTCTGGCATTGGGAAGTTGGGTATGAAACAACCAATTAGTGAATCACATGTGTATGCTGAAGAACTCTACACTAGATCAACTGACACACACAAGTCTGAACAGCTTAACCAAAATTGTAACATCTCTAATAACCTAGTTTAACGGTCAAGTAATCTAAATTACAACTGTTTCAACTGTTTAAAGATCATTAACACATTCACCCCTGAAGACACATTTGAACTCTTCCAATTAAAAGGTATGAATAGTTCATTATGAAACTTCAGGGGTGGATGAGTTAAACTATATCAAATCATGGAAAAAATTGTCAGAATGATTTTTTTAATCTCAGAAAAAAATCCTAAATGACTGGATGTATCATAAGTATTGATAGGCCATTTTGCTGGTAAATACTGAGGAGCTCTCCTCACTTTCCCATCATACTAGAAACTGGAGGCTATTTTACAGCCCTGCCACAATGCAGACAAACCTCCCCAACCCCAAATGCCCAGACGATCTCTGTGAGTCTGGGAACATAATCTTCACCTAACTGGAGTCAGGCTTTTTAAACAGGAGTGCTAATAGAGGAAACTCTGTTTTTCCAGTTTCTGACGATATGGCAAATTTAGGAGGCCACTGAGGGAGCCATGTATGTAAATAACCAACTGTATTATCGATCTACAAACTAACCAACAATATTTGAATATGCTCAGAGTAAAATTGGACTATCTGAAGATTACTGAACAAATATGTTCTTGTATCCCCCAATGTAAAAGGACCCAGTTTTACCATGAATAGGGTTCAATCATCATATTTGCTCAGGGAACAATAGAAAAATATGGAGTGTTTGGGACAACAGGCGAGATGTATGGAGTCTCATTCTCACCGAGGTGATAGGACAAGTAAAGAGGGTTTGAACCTTGAAAACTTGCTAAGGGCTCTCTAAGGGGATACTGACCTCCAACACATAAAACTGTAAAACATTTGTACACAGATGTTACACTACATATAACTGTACAGAAGTTGACCTCTCCATATGTGAACTCAACCATCAATTAGAGCAATTAAATTCATTATATCCCTGAATACATTATATCCCATACTTCTGCTCAATTAACCAACAATCTGGATATTTTCAAGCATCAAAACTTATCAAATTAATTTCAGTAAATAAATGCAAGCACTCAGTATCGGATAATTCGAAGTCAAAACTGTTCAACACCTATGTACATAAATACAACATAATTTCCAAGAGAGTGATAAAAATTGCAAGACCCTATCCCTCCCCCTCTGCCACAAAGCTGATGATTCATGACTATCAAGCGAGATAAAACCTAAAATTCTGATTCAAGGACCCTCACGCTTGCCTTTCATTACCTGGTGAAAATTGTGGAATTTGTTTCAATCTAAGTCTGAATGTGTCCGGCCATAAATAGGTGCCCCACTGTGTTCCAGTGACAGTGGGAACCTCAAAGTGGAACTTCAAGTATGGCCTCCATTGAAAACCTCTCATTGAGATAGCTACACTGTCAGGCTACCCCTAAAGCTATTAACTGAATGTATGAACTTTCATTTTACAATAACACTGTAGATATGACAAAATGCTTTTATCCCAGAGCATGTTTAGCTGTACCCCTGGTTTCTGTGCGCCCTATCAGATCTCACTGCAGCCCACGGCTGTAGGTACATGTACATTAACAGATAAATGTGCAGGCCTCATCATTCCTGGAGCACCAAGTATGCACTGCTATACCCACTTTTCTGTCTCCCTTCCCGGCGATTTTCTCAGCAAGATACGGTACAAATCCCTACCAGACTGATTCACGGGACACACTGCACAGACGAATTTGGCCACTGACTGATGCTCCTCGTTTTCGAATTGATTTTTTTACTGAATTCTTTCTACTGATGTGCGGAGTCTCTACGGCCAGATTACGACATATATAACCTACCTTTTATGCAAGAATTGATAGGCAATGTAATCTTGCATGTTTTCAGAGTAACACCTTACTCAACAGTATAGACTGATGAACGGAGCAACTACAGGAAAGAGAGCTATACCACAAGTGCATTTATACGATAAATATGCAGATATTGGAAGTCATTTAAAATAAATAACCTTCAGCTCTAGAAGAATCAATTTTCCCCTATACCTTATATGGTTTACAATTCAGGACATTGATAACTTAAAGCTGTTTCTTAAAGCTAAACAATACAATAACCTTTTGTTTTAAATTTTAAAAAAAAAGAAATTGAAAACTGTAGTTTAATTACCCCTTATTGGTGGATTATGCAGAATAAATTAAAAAATAGCATATTCTCAGTGAGAAATATTTAAAAAAATACATTTGATGATGAATGAGATTTTATCGGGAATTACTACAGCAAGGTGAGACACGTACAGGTAAATCCAATCTGCACACACTACAATCGGCATATTTCATCACGAATGTCCTATCTATACAGAGATATACTACCAATGAATTATTGAATATCATTTCATTTAACCTGCAGTGTTAGACTCCCAATATCAGAGGTTCACTAATCTGTAAAGGGGAGCTGTCCTACTCGCACCTCACACATTCATCAAAGAATGCCCGGCAATCTCCCAGAGAACACAATCTGATCCTGTGCCATAAATAACTCCAGACAGGAGAGAAAGCATGCATTTAAAAAAGCTCTTTCCCACATAAAACGTGGGTTCACACAGTCGATTAAACAAGGCAATGAAAATGAAGATGAGTACTAACCTTTGGTTGAGCCTTTCTGGGAAACGCTACCTTGGGGTCCACCTGTGGATAGAGGTACCATAGAGCATCCATTTTAGTAAGACAAGCAGGTATATATATAAAACACTACAGGAAGGACTGCCCAACGACTGTACTGGTCAAGGTAGACTGGACGAATAAATGACAAGTATTTTGTGTACTGGCCAGTGTGTCACACTTAACAATAAAGATGGTCAGATATTATGCTGTGTGATGTCTTGCGTGTCACTCTCTGTCCTTCACACAGGCTTGGCTGGAGCTGGACAGTTTGACCACAGGGCGCCAGATGTGTGTAGTACGCCTGTAGTAAGGTGTAAAGGCACAAGTGTTGTGTAGTAGTAGTAGTAAAGTCCCAATGCAGTCCTCAATGAGTTGTACTACAAGTTAATATCGTGTGATTGATGTGCACCTAGTCCTTAAGTAGAGTCCAAGCAACAGTCTTTAATTACTTTCCATCTCAAAAGCTCTAGGAACTGACTGACAACCAATTAGGTCGGGCGTTTTTAGTGTACCATTGTCGACGTCATGGTCTGCCCTGACAATAGCCAGACCCTCACTAAATGTATTCGATTCTTTCCCGATCGTTATTCCAAACAATAGAGCACGTGTGATGTAACGGCGTTCTTTCCCATCCAGTTAAAATATAAGTAAACATTAGACGGGTTGATCGAACCAACTTCTTTCTTCCTGACAAACACACAGCATTCAGCGGTTCTGATCCATACCTTCTGTGCTATACAAACACCTTCGGCTATGACATTGGGGCTGATTTCAATGGAACGTTTACACAGTAGAGGTCCAAGTTTTGAAAGAGAGTTTTGTTATACCAGAAAAACTATAACAAGACCTGTTCAATAAGACTCTAACACAGTGGTGAAAACCAATTACAGCCTTGAATATTAACACTGAGACAGCTATTCAACCCAGCTTTGGAAATCTTGAAATATTACTGTGGATAGTTTACTTTCAAAATAAGCTATCCTCAGGATATTTACCGATAAAGGCAGGTAAAAGCAGTGTTTACAAACTTGGCCTAGGAATCGCTCCCTTTGTACAGATTATGTACAATTTACCTACAACAAAGCATTCTACCTTGCCTATTCTTTCTTTTGAAATCTATTCACAATTTTTTTTCAACATTTTTATTAAACAAAATTGACAGGTATATTAATTAATTTAAAATCATGAATATTCATCTGTTTTCCACCTTGACCAATCACAGACTCTGGGAGTGTAACAGTTTAATAGGTTTTGATATAAATGTATGACATTCACAAGATGAAACAAGAGGGGCCACACCAGGGAGGCCATCACACCAAAACACATTACACAGGACATGTATATATATCCGAGGTAGAAACAGGGAAGTCATGTCTTTCAAACCTATGTATAAATACTAATATATACTATGTTCTTTAATAATAATAATAATAATAATATACAGCATTTATATAGCGCCCTATATAATTTGTAAAATTATTCTAAGGCGCAAATCAATTTTCTACATTTTTTTTATATCTTGAAACTAGCCTTAATTTAATGTGTACCACACATATATAAAAGAGTCAAACTAGGTCTTATATAATCCAAGTTGGGACATATTTACATGAAAATGCTAGAAAACCCTGGGAAAACTTTACTTTCACCTTGGTGGTGACATTTAGAAAGTTTGTGGTACACTGCAGGTAACCCATTTCTATAGGCCCTAGCACCTTCTACCTTTAAACTTAGCCATACCTTTTGATAGTATGCTAATTTAACCCACAGGGGGTCGGAGTGGCTATTGATAGGGTCTAGCAGGGATTTTATTGTCACATCACACAGATAAAGGTGAGGCTAGCATAGAAACAGGAAACATCCCCTACTTATTGGTCCCCATACTTATTGGTAATTTTTCACGGTCAATTTCCAAAATGAGATTACTGTTATATGTATTCATATGGTGTCAGAATGCGATCAATCCGATCTAACGTTTGATTGTATACTCCAGGTATTCACACTGTAACAATATTGAACAGTAATCCCTAGCAATTTAAATTTGAAAAACATGATAAACATAAATTACCATAAGAATCAGAAATTTCAAGATGCAATTCAAAATTTTTAAAACCTTCATTTTTATTTTTTTTACAAAACACAGCTCAACAATGAAAAAAGTATGAACATAAATTAACAACAATCTTCTTCATAATTTTTATAGATTTATTACAGAAAGAGAAATGATATATCAATACAAGGGTAGTGGGACGACACAGTGATTAATTAGGGGTGATTAATTGGTGTATATAATAACATGATGATAAATCATGGTCAATACATGAACAAATTACCATAAATAAAATGAGGACAAATTACCGTAACGAGTAACGACTGGAGATAGAGAACAGTGTTAGTGCAATAAGAGGTTAATATTACCGTTTTTGAGTCCAGCTCGTGAGGCCCATTAGCGAGCACTTTCTCTACAGCGGCAGACTCTCTAAACGTGACAAACCCAAAGCCCCTGAAAACCAAAAACATTGTATCAAGTTTCTGCTACAAACCCTGGTCCTGTACTCTGTAGTATACATCTGAACTTTGTATTTTTTTAATGTCAAAATGACCTTACATTTTTTCACAGTTGAACTTTATTTTCAAACATTCCAAATTTCCTTTTCATCAAATGAGATCTACATCTGTTTTTAAACTTAAACGCCAAAATGATCCTACATTTTTTCACAGTTGAACTTTATTTTCAAACATTCCAAATTTCCCTTTTTTTCAATCGAGATCTACATCTGTTTTTAAACTTAAACTTCTATTAATTTCTCAAGTTACAGATTTTTTAAAGTATTGTTTTAAATGTTCAACTTAGTAATACTGACAAGATATGGAAGTTCACATGTATGGAGCCTGCTCCTCTACCAGGCTAACCACCTACAGTAGAGCCAAATAACTTAAATCTGAAAGAAAAACATCTAAATACCAAGGACAAAAATAAAACCAGGACAGACTTATATTTTAGTAGAAAATAAAGTTAAATACCAAAAAAAATCCTTTTCACATTATGACTTTCAAACTACAAAAATTTGTGTTTCTACTGATTAACTCATAAAATAAATACGAACGAAGTAATTATATCTACTGTCTATAAGTCTATATATTAAATCCTTTTAAAACAGTTACATCTGCAAATGTCTCCTTATCCACATGTGATGGGCCAAGCCTATCTCCTGTCATTTTAAAACCTAGTTACTTAATAGGAATTCAGCTGGAAAATTAAATGTTAGAATTTATGTAGGCAATTTAATGCCAGGCAGGAAGGAGTGGTGCAGGCTACAGCGTATTAAGGGAAGTATCTGGTAGTCTAGTGCTCTGTGAATACTGCTCCTCCGCTGTAGTCGCTACAATGTACCACTAATTACATCTCCTCGGCTAATAGAATTCATCTTCCGAGATAATTAAATTAACCAATTAAAATATGTAGGTATAGATACATTTTCTGTTCTCATGCAAGGAAGAACACCTCGCATACTTTATGTACAACATAACGCAAGACACAGACGTTGCTGGTACACTGGTGAGCTATTCAATCAGGAATTTTCCTCTGCATTGTTTACATTCAAATTTACAACTAGGGTTATGTAGGTCATCTATCGGGTGTATTACAAGTGTAGGGCTGGGAGGCTGAGAATGGAGACAGATGCCTGTGTGCATAGCTAGCTACCAGTGTAATTATATACAACATGGCATTTATATCTCGAGCTTATACCTCAGACAGGACAAAATTGACCAAGGAAACATCACAAATAATACATGTACATAAAATACTGTGGAGTTTTGCCAAAATTAATTAAGAGTCCAGATAAGACAGCAATGTGCTCTAATTGGTTTGTGTTTTAATTACTGATGACGTGAATTATTAAAAATCTGTCTATGCTTAGAGCATGTAAAAACGGTCTGGAGGAAGCTGGTGTCAAGAGATATTATAAATAACTATCAAAGACCCTTGCTGCTTTATCAGGGGCAGATCGGCTGATGAATGTGTACAGGTTTACAGTGGGGCCAAACAGAAAACATAGTCTATAGCATGAGAACGGCTGACGGGCCTTAGACGTTATGTAGAAACTCAACATAACCGCTACATGACAGAGGCTTTGATCTTCCAAGTGTACAATGTAGAACACAAGATCCTAATTGGAAAAAAATACCTTTGTGCGCACATACGATAGATGTGCAAGTTACCGACGGCAACAGTATATTCCCAATACTCCAATAATATAGTTGAGGATAATCACAAATAAAATATGCACATATCCATGATTTTCTATACATAGGCATGAAACACCGCGATGGAGTACAGAGCATATACACGCAGTGAGCCGGAACTGGTTTGTAAACATTGGCGTACCTGGATCGTTTAGTGGTCGGGTCCTTCATAACCATAGCCTCCTTGATTTCCCCATACTTCCCGAAGTGTTCCTTTAGCGAATCTGAATAAAAAATAAAAAATGTTTTTATTCATGATCATTTTTGTTACGATATTTCTGGAATTGACAATAGAACGAACTCGGCGACACGATAACATACACACATGAACACACACTAAGAAGACAATAACAGCAGGGTCACTCACCGTGACAGCTAACGGCACGGGTCCTTAGTGGACACAAATCAATTCAAAATTAAGATCGTTAACATCATTTACTCGGAATAAATAAGAATTTAGACTTACCCCCGGTTGTCTGCCAGCTGAGGCCACCGATGAACATTTTCCTGTCAATATTAAAGACGAGACTTCATTATTACGGCTCTCGTAGGTGACCTATTTATAGCCACCGGAGAAGAAAACGAACACACGGGCCTAAACGATGAATAATCATTTGATTTTCGTTCGATCTGATCGTAATTAATTGTTACTTACCCGGGATCATTTGGTATATCCTCGGTACCATTGCTAGTAGTGTTTGAAACCTGGAGGTCCATCTTCATATTTCTAAAAGTCTAATGCTAACTACTAACACTACACCGTATACTGGAGAACTGCACGTGGGGAAGATTCTCAACGTTCACTACACTACAACCATTGGGCTATTGTGGGTGGAGATTTCGCGCGTCTCACAAGGCGCCAATTGTCGGTGATTGACATATATCTGCAGTCAATTGATTGGTCGAATCCAAGTCGCTAGGCAACTGTGATCAGTTTATATTGACGTCACCGTACCTAGCAGGGCGAATACCACGCCTCTGCCTATCATAAACAGTAGAAAAACAAACCCGCCTTTGCTGGTAAGTAGGTCCCTATAGAAGAGTCCGACTATGAATGAATTAATGAAGCGGTAAGGCGTTCAGCAAATCTATATCGGGTTTTATATTCATTATACTATTGATCGCCACCAACTTTTCAATTTCTCCATTAAGCTGTGAATCAGGGGCTTCCTAAAGGTCACTTTCTACATAAAATATCAATCTATTTTCATTTATTGAAGAAGAATTCGTTTTCATAACATAAACACTATTGCTTGCTAGTGTTAAATCGGTACGAGTAATTAGATTGGTACAGGTTCGCGTCACCAGTGTGTTCCAACTTGTTATGTGTGGTTTGCGGGAACGGAGCCTGAATTACACTTTCACTTTTCTTTAGCACATGCTATTTATCTTTTCGTCATAAGCGCGCCCTTGCTTGGCGGTGACAGGTTCGCGAAAAGGCTAAAACAGATAAGGGAATATCATCTAGGCAGCTAGGAAACGGACGGTAGATAAACGCTATATAGCACAGTACACGATTGCTTTGTAAATAAACTAGTCAAGCCGATTTTCAGAAATTATATATTATCTCTTCCTTTCAAAGTTTCTGCCCGTACGAGATAGGGCACTTGAAAAATGTAGGTCTGTGATTTAGCATATTTATTGACTTATCAATCCGAGCACCTGTTGATAAGGCATGTTTTTATAGATCGATAAAAAACATTTCTAAAATCACTTGACTTATAAGGCTTCTGAAATGTAGCCCAGTTTGGAATCGGACAGACTGCGACTGTTAAAAGGCGCACGGCCTAATCTACTTCGGTTAAATAGGATACCATTAACTGACACATTATTCCGTTTTAAACTATTATTTTTCAACGAAATGATTGCTTTAATAAATCCTCTGTGACTGTGTTAATAACCTTTATATCCAGCATTTTTTTGTATATATATTTACCTATATATACCGTTCCCTCTTCGTGACCCTTTTCGCGTTAATTTGAAATATAGACAAGTGTATTAAATCGTTTAGGGTGAACGAAACGCTGGAGGTTATAAATATCGGATTTGGATAGAATTTCATTTATTTCCCACTAGAATATCCTATTAATGAGATATTTGTATCACTTTTACAATGAACGTTTTATACCGTAAAACATACTGTAGCACTATTTGCCATGAAACATACACACCGGCCTTAAAGACTTTCCCAAACATGGTGTACTGTCGTTAGCGGGGGAAAATACAGCTAGAGGGATTAACATTAAATAACGGTAGCAACCTACTGACAGATGAAACATAGACAATTTAAGTCTATATCGTACACGATTTCACGAGCTTATTGATATACACTTGACACACAAAATGTGTAACTAGAGGATTTAATATACAAATAACACTTAAATATCACGGAACAGTTATCAAACACAACAGGAATTCAAGTTAAAATTGGAATTTCTATTATACCGACGGACTTACCCGTTTTAGAATGTTTGTTCACTGACTGTGACAAATGATTTAACATTTACTTCGGAATCTTTATTACGTTGGAACACGAATTGTAAGTTTATTGGTAATTATCAAGACAAACGTACATTGAACTTAAACGCGTGGAACTTTTATTAACTATTAAGAACATTATCGTTATACTATAAAGTTATAGTAAAAAAATATATATGTATTTAAAAAACACACAAACTGCAACAAAACATCGCTGATATCGATTTGTCATACTTGAAATTGCCTTCACTTAACAAACAAATAAACAAATATATCGACCAATGTATCTCGTCTGTTATTTTGTATAGAAGTTTATGTATCTGTATCATTGTGTACAGTTCATGTATCTGTATCCCTGTGTACAGTTTATGTATCTGTATCCCTGGGTACAGTTTATGTATCTGTATCCCTGTGTACAGTTCATGTATCTGTATCATTGTGTACAGTTCATGTATCTGTATCCCTGTGTACAGTTTATGTATCTGTATCATTGTGTACAGTTTATGTATCTGTATCATTGTGTACAGTTTATGTATCTGTATCATTGTGTACAGTTTATGTATCTGTATCACTGTGTACAGTTTATGTATCTGTATCCCTGTGTACAGTTTATGTATCTGTATCCCTGTGTACAGTTTATGTATCTGTATCCCTGTGTACAGTTTATGTATCTGTATCCCTGTGTACAGTTTATGTATCTGTATCCCTGTGTACAGTTTATGTATCTGTATCCCTGTGTACAGTTTATGTATCTGTATCCCTGTGTACAGTTTATGTATCTGTATCCCTGTGTACAGTTTATGTATCTGTATCCCTGTGTACAGTTTATGTATCTGTATCCCTGTGTACAGTTTATGTATCTGTATCCCTGTGTACAGTTTATGTATCTGTATCCCTGTGTACAGTTTATGTATCTGTATCCCTGTGTACAGTTTATGTATCTGTATCCCTGTGTACAGTTTATGTATCTGTATCCCTGTGTACAGTTTATGTATCTGTATCCCTGTGTACAGTTTATGTATCTGTATCCCTGTGTACAGTTTATGTATCTGTATCCCTGTGTACAGTTTATGTATCTGTATCCCTGTGTACAGTTTATGTATCTGTATCCCTGTGTACAGTTTATGTATCTGTATCCCTGTGTACAGTTTATGTATCTGTATCCCTGTGTACAGTTTATGTATCTGTATCCCTGTGTACAGTTTATGTATCTGTATCCCTGTGTACAGTTTATGTATCTGTATCCCTGTGTACAGTTTATGTATCTGTATCCCTGTGTACAGTTTATGTATCTGTATCCCTGTGTACAGTTTATGTATCTGTATCCCTGTGTACAGTTTATGTATCTGTATCCCTGTGTACAGTTTATGTATCTGTATCCCTGTGTACAGTTTATGTATCTGTATCCCTGTGTACAGTTTATGTATCTGTATCCCTGTGTACAGTTTATGTATCTGTATCCCTGTGTACAGTTTATGTATCTGTATCCCTGTGTACAGTTTATGTATCTGTATCCCTGTGTACAGTTTATGTATCTGTATCCCTGTGTACAGTTTATGTATCTGTATCCCTGTGTACAGTTTATGTATCTGTATCCCTGTGTACAGTTTATGTATCTGTATCCCTGTGTACAGTTTATGTATCTGTATCCCTGTGTACAGTTTATGTATCTGTATCCCTGTGTACAGTTTATGTATCTGTATCCCTGTGTACAGTTTATGTATCTGTATCCCTGTGTACAGTTTATGTATCTGTATCCCTGTGTACAGTTTATGTATCTGTATCCCTGTGTACAGTTTATGTATCTGTATCCCTGTGTACAGTTTATGTATCTGTATCCCTGTGTACAGTTTATGTATCTGTATCACTGTGTACAGTTGATGTATCTGTATCCCTGTGTACAGTTTATATATCTGTATCCCTGTATACAGTTTATGTATCTGTATCACTGTGTACAGTTGATGTATGTGTATCACTGTGTACAGTTGATGTATCTGTATCCCTGTGTACAGTTTATGTATCTGTATCCCCGTGTACAGTTTATGTATCTGTACCATTGTGTACAGTTTATGTATGTGTATCACTGTGTACAGTTGACCTGTGTACAGTTTATGTATCGGTATCATTGTGTACAGTTTATGGATGTGTATCCCTGTGTACAGTTCATGTATCTGTATCAATGTGTACAGTTTATGTATGTGTAGCATTTTGTACAGTTTATGTATCTGTACCCCTGTGTACAGTTTATGTATCGGTATCATTGTGTACAGTTTATGGATGTGTATCCCTGTGTACAGTTTAAGTATCTATCTGTATCATTGTGTACAGTGTATGTATCTGTATCCCTGTGTACAGTTCATGTATCTGTATCCATGTGTACAGTTTATGTATCTGTATCCCTGTGTACAGTTTAAGTATCTGTATCCCTGTGTACAGTTTATGTATCTGTATCCCTGTATACAGTTTATGTATCTGTATCATTGTGTACAGTTTATGTATCTGTATGATTGTGTACAGTTTATGTATCTGTATCCCTGTATACAGTTGATGTATCTATATCATTGTGTACAGTTGATGTATCTGTATCCCTGTATACAGTTTATGTATCTATATCCCTGTGTACAGTTCATGTATCTGTATCATTGTGTACAGTTGATGTATCTGTATCCCTGTGTACAGTTGATGTATCTGAATCACTGTGTACAGTTATCTATCTGTATCATTGTGTACAGTGTGATGTATCTGTATCCCTGTGTACAGTTTATGTATCTGTATCCCTGTGTACAGTTGATGTATCTGTATCATTGTGTACAGTTGATGTATATGTATCATTGTGTGCAGTTGATGTATCTGTATCATTGTGTACAGTTGATGTATCTGTATCCCTGTGTACAGTTGATGTATCTGTATCCCTGTGTACAGAAGTTCAAGGCTGTATGGAAATGAAGCTATAGCTTGCTTGGCTAGGTTGTCCTATTCGTTCTTACTTTTCCTGCTTTGACCTTGCCTGACCTTGACCTACAGTCAACCCAGACACAGGCTGAATTATAAAGTAATTTCTACCTCAATGATTTCGGACAAATTTGGACAAAACGTGAATTGTCACATCTCTACCACTAACGAAGATTTCTATTACGGTAATAGGTTTTTATTGAGTCTACATGGCCACCAAACGTCCTTACTGGACACGGGTTTTGTTATGTTATTGAAGAGTGACCAACGATTGAGTTTACTTATTAATTTCATGTCGAAGAGAATTCCCTCACGAGTAGGAATAACACACATTCTAGAAAACACCAGTAACATATATTGTACGTTGTGTAACCAGAGACTTATAGAACCAAGTAGTCATAG